ACGTCTACTTCCCCCTCCTTCCGCTCTTTCCTATTTATCAGTCTCTTCCTCACTTCCGCTGCGCTCTCTTCCTCTCTGTCAAATTAACATAGTTCGTGCAGTTGAATTTAAATAGTGATCGGGGTTGTGGCCCCATCCGCGGATTTCGGGTCTTCTTGAAAGTTTTAATCAAGTACGCGCGGAGAGTCTATGGCCGTGTGAAATTTCCGTGGTCTTTTTGCGGGATTATCTGGGTAATTGGACCGACCGAAGCTTGCGACAAGCCGAATAAAAACAATATTCATCGCATTTAATTCTACCTTAATGGCAGTTTTGGAATTTCTTCGGCCGGCGCTCGAGAGCGGTATACTTGGCGACAACATTTTTCCGACCACGCGACTCCGAAAGGGTTCGGGAATGCATAACGTAATTCGTAATGGTCCAAGTTGAATTGGGGCTTACGAAGTAATCAGAAACTTCAAATCTTAGTTCGTTCCTCTTTTTTTCCTCCGACCCCTCTCTTTGGATAATTTGCTCGTTCACGCGCGAACGAAATCATAGGTTAAGCGTTAGTCGTGCGCCGTGCTAAATTTCATCAGTCTGAAGAAGTTCGTTTAATTTGTTTCACCTACGAAATCTACATCTCAAGATGTGCTCAAATAAATAGAGAGCACATGAATATTCTGCCGGCACTTGTTTCCTACGAAACGCGCTCTCGAACCGCCTAAATTCGATAGGTAAAACGGCACCGCGAGTCTATATCGCGCCAGGAGAAAATGGCGTATGTCACGATTTCCGTTATCGCGGCCACGTTCCGCCGCGCACAATTGCATTCCGGCAACTACTTGGAAAGTGCGCTTAAACGGCCCGGTCCCTCTACGCCTCTTACGCACGTACGCTCATGTGAACTTACACATTCGCGATCGCCAGCACGTACACACATGTGCGCTTTTCAGTCGGCATTATGCAAAAGTTATTCGAAAAGTAACTTCAGACTCTCACATAGGAGGTTGAAAAGTTTTCGCGGTACGCCATTCCCTCCGTTCGAGCCCGAGGAAATAATTACAACCCTGACGGTGGGTGAAATTGGTAGTCCGAAAATGCAGAAACGTGTTCATCATCGACGTTGCGCAATCGAGAAATTCAAGAAAGCATGCATTCTTAACTGGGTGCTCTTTGTAAAAAATATGCAAATGTGGAAAAATGATGAAAGACTGATAGAAAACATTGGCATATCCAGGGCGAAAAGAATTGGAGGCTTCAAATCTCTCCCGAAATTTAAAAAAAAAGTTAAAATTATGATTTATAAAACCTAATATTTTTCTCATTCAAAATCAGGAACGATAAAATATTCTAAGTTCTAAAATATCTAAAAAAGCGATTTATTAACGCAAAAATTGCTGTTTATGTGCTAACAAAATTGATAAAACTTTCCCATCCCTAAAAAAATCCTGGATCCTACGCCCATGATAGAAAATAAAATAGCATAACAAGTATTCTTTAAAAGTTAGTTAAAAGTTAGTTAAAAGATGATAAATGAGATGCAGAGTGAAAGATAACTGTTGGTTCGACAAAAAACGAATATAAGAAAGAAAGAGTAAATATAACTATCCATTCCGTAGTAAACAATATATCAATATGATATATCAATAAGAATGTAGACATTTGTTTGAACGGATGTTTCTGTATAGTCTTCTGTATAGTCTTATTTTATTTGTAATCAATCGTATAATATCGAAATGATTCTTTATATGTTTCTGTAACGGGACGCGCGTTTCTTTTATTACTTTGTTATTATTGACTGCGTGCATCGATAATATTGTACTTTGTTCTCAACTCATCACTTTACTTATTATTAAATCCATAAAATACACAATTGAGTCACAAAGGGAATCGAAATTATTCACTCTTTTCTTTCTACATGAAACAGATACAAAAAATCAAAATATCGTTGTAATGGCATTAAAATTGACGATATCTTTCGAGGGAGGGATTTTTTTTTGTTCAGAAGTCACGGAAGGGAAATCGTTTATTTCGAAAGTTGGGAGGGACGCAGTCCGAACCGTGCTGCATTTTATTGTGTCTGGACCCTCTGGGCACGTTATTTTTCGCTTCCGCTCCGCGGAACTCGCGGCGCGACGGGCTCGTTCGACGCTCCCGAAATTGTCGACGATCCATTCGTAGCGAAGTCAGTGCGACGTCAAACGAAATTGCTCTTCGTCCGCGCCGCGGACAAAACGCGTAAACAGACAGGTTCCTCGTATGTCCGTGCGTAACTTTCTCTTCGACGAGCGTCACAAATCACGCGACGCAACCGGCCGGACGGCCGAATGCGCCCGGTCATACGTTTCCGTACGACAATGGCGCTACGGTGGCAGACACGAGAATAGAAAGTGCGAGAGAGAGAGAGAGAGAGAGAGAGGAGGGAGGGGGAGGGGGAGGAAGGAGAGAGAGGAAAAAGGAAACCGGAACTAGGAGTAAATGGAAGGAGACGTGGCATAAACGAGGATGCGCGAGATGAGACGCTATTTCCTGTGTTTCCACGATGTACGCGTAACGTACGGTCGATGAAAACTAATCTATTGACAAAGTGGGAAATGAAAAAGAACGGATTCATCATCAATAAGCGACGACAGTGATGACGACAATGACAACACAACAACGACAACGACGACGACGACGACGACGACGACGACGACGACGACGACGACGACGACGACGACGACGACGACGACGACGACGACGACGACGACGACGACGACGACGACGACGACGACGATGATGCGACGAGAGAGAGGAGAGGGAGAGAGAGGAGGGGAGAGGGGGAGAGAGAGAAGGGGGGGGGGGAAGGGAGAGAAAGAGAGAGATAGAACAGATAATAGGCGGCAGATAACAGCGGATGGGGAACCCGAAATGACGGAACACAGTTGCAGTTTATCCCTTTCTGACGTGGCTCATAAAACCCCGTCGGTCCCGTAATATTTTACCGCAATCTCTCTCTGCGCGAGCGCATACGCCGTTATCGAGAACACTCGCGGAAACAAGGGGCCAACCGGGCGGAAATATACGGGCATTCGGAAATGGGTTGAGATGATCCGAGTCGCGATGCAAGTTCTCGGCCAAGTAGTCTCCGGACTTAACGACTCTTCCTGTCGCGATAGGGATGCAGGGAGGAACGGGGGAGAGAAAGCGCGACGAGCCGCACGGGATATTTCGGCGGGGGACGATAACGGCGAGGGCGGCCAAGGAAAGAAGTTGGATCGCGTTTCGCGGGAGAGCGCAAACGGTTAATGTACGATCGAAGGAAGAAGGAACGTTCGCAGCAATCCGGAACGACCGGAGGGGTTGAACCATTCCAGGTTGAACGATAGCGCCAGGAATAAGTACTGTTCGCCGGGAAAGCTCTCCATTGGATACGGGAATTGGATGTTCGGGATAAGAGAGGGAGAGGGAAAGAGCGAGAGAGGGAGAAGGGGGGGGGAGGGAGGAAAGCGGAATCGATGGTGCTCTCAAACAATTCTTCACCGTGTATTGACCGTGGGTAAATCAATCAGAGACAGTCGTTTTGACCTTTACGATCAGATTCCGGTTGGTGCAACGACGGGGGTGAGACGAGAGCGAGTGAGAGATGGAGAGATAGCGAGACGAAGGGGGAAGACAGATAAAAGGATAGATAGAGAAAGGTAAAAAGAGAGACAGACAAGGAAGTAGAATAAAAAAACCGTATCGAGAAGGTTAAAGAGCTAAAGCTCGAGGTTAAAGCTAAAGGGGGGAAAGATCGAAGTAGAAAGGAGAATTCTGACATTGTTTGTTCAATCGCAATTACGTCATCCAGGACCTTCTTGCGCCAAAGGCAGGACGAAAATCTTTTAAGGTATCGCGTGGATCAGGATGTTGCAAACATCGAAATTATAATATGTATAAATTTTTCTCGAATATGAATGGTTAACGTAGCTTGTGAATTTGATGTATTACGCTGTTGTTACATAGTTTATGTTTACATTGTTCCCAAATAAAATGATTTTATTTCAATTATGTATTTGCGGAAATTATTTTAAGAAAAATTGAGTATGTGCAAATCTATACTTTGTAACATTTAAAAATTATAATAAACAGAAATATTATATATCGACCAAACTAGTCTATATTTTCAAATGTAGCCACCATTGTCAATTAAATCTCAGTAAACGTTACACTGTAAAAAGTGACATAGAGAAAACATCTAAATTTAAAATGTTTTATTCAATATAATAATGTATAATAATGATAAAGGTTTCCAAATTAAATATTTTAAATCTAAACATCCGTTCATAATTAAAATATCTTTAAATATTTCAAAAATGGAGGCAAATCATTATAATAATTATAATGCGCAAGTCATATTACGTAACGTGTGTTTGATATAAAAGCTGTCGGCATAAAATGTCTGTCAGCATAAAGATGTTGCATCAAACTTTGTATTGCGTAACAAATGTGTTAAATATCGTTAAAATATCGTATAAATTCTTAATATTAATGATTATCATTATCATATCGGCCAGTTTAATTTAAGAAATATAAAAATGTTTATCTTTTTATTACGAGGTAATAACGAAGTTATATATGAATCTCTGGATGAAGCTATGAACTATAAAAATATTTTTTTTTTTTCATGTAGTTGCGTACAAACGGTGAACGGAAATTTGACAGATACAATGTTTGTATTTCTGTTACAAAGGCGCATGGAGATGCAGAGATATGGTGTGATCCCCAAGATAACAAATGAAATTATAAAAATATTTTCATACAATGTAATAAGCATTTATACAAAAAATTTATCCTAATTTTTTTATAAATTAATTTTTCTACAAAATATATAAATATAAATAATAAAAAGAATATATATAGATATAAATTTTTTTTCGTTCTTTGAATCATAACTATTATAACTTTAATATTCATACATATATATATATATATATATATATATATATTTTTACATATATTGTTAAAGGTGTTCATGTCTTATTTTAAAATATCTTACATCTTTAATAAATTAATTTTGCATCGATTTATTTACAATCAATTTTAATTCGAGAATATATAGTAACCTTGATCTGATTAGTACATTGATTTTGACATCTTTAATCAATAGAATGACATTGGTATTATCATACTAATGATCCCATTGCGCAAGTCATATTATGTAACATATGGTATAAAAGCTGTTGCATGTTCAGCAGTCTCGATCAAAGAACTTGGCATTAAACTTTGCATATCAAAGTGCACTAAATAATTATTAAAATGTCGTACAAATTCACTCTTCTGATATTGATGACTATCATCGCATCGGCTCTGCTGATTCAAAAAACATGTAAGTTTTTATTTTTACGTATTATAAAAATGCCAATTATAAATTTTTAAACGACATCGTAAAAACATTTTCTTTTCGAGCAGTGGCGTGTGAAAAAGATGAACGAAAATTTGACGGATGCAATACTTGTATTTGCATCGAGGGTTCATGGGCGTGCACAAAAAAGTGGTGTGGTCCTTAAGATAAAATTATTATATAATATATAAAATTATTATATAAAGGAATTTTCGGTTTTATGCAGCAATATAATTGTCACATTGAAATTCTCTGCATTTTGACTGAATTATAGCATACTATGTACATAAATACAGGTAATATAAAATAAAAGAAATATATACGATCGTATCCTGTTATATGTTAGAATATTACCAACTCATTGTTCTATGGCCAGTAGATGGGCTATAGCTTTCAGGTTAAATTTTTACAACTGTACGGTATTTAAATAAAATCTCACATCCTTTCAAACGAATTTATATTTCGTCGAATGGTCACTCGTATCAATCGTAAAAAAAATACCGTTGGAATTCTAATCTATTGTCAGTCATGTTTCTAAAACTCTTTTCCTCGTCAGCATTATGTTTCTTTCTTTCATCTTCTTAGATCAGGTTACCATCTGATTTTCGACGTGACGGATGCATTCTTTTGTAAAATAAATACGATAGAAAATACAAAACAGAAAGCACATGGATATTATTATAACAGGTAAACATTTCTTTTCAAGGATTTTTTTAGGCTTTAAATTTCTCTCTAGTTTCTTTCTTTTATAACTTGTATATACAAGTCTGACCTATCTTGAAACTTTTCGATTGAGAGTAAATCCGGAGCAAATTGAGGATGAACATCTTTATTGCGAAACATTCTATATATATTTTTTTAATATGTAAGTCAAAAGTAAACTCTATTCTGTTGAACCGTTGTCTCAAGTACCGCAGGGAAATAATTCCATCCGCGAGTTCCAATTCGGGAACATTTACTTACATCACGACGAGAAATCATATCGAAAACCGAATCAGTTCTGTGCGATAGCGTTTCAATGATGCATGATGAGTACCGAAGGACTAAAAAGCTCTCTCTCTCCCTCCCCTCTCTCTCTCTCTCTCTCTCTCTCTCTCTCTCTCGCGACCTGGAGTCGAGCGAATTCGAGAGCCGAACGATTTTGTCAGGCGCGTTTTCCGGTGTGAGTCGCCGCCGGGCATTCGATAATCTGCGTTGGAATCGCTCCTTTATATTTCATAATATTTGATACGTATGACGGAAACGTACCTGTGCCGAGCGAGAGGGTGCTCAACCACGTACAAACAATGGCGGATTGTGAGCCAGTGGGCCAGGCGTGGCAACGATGATTTAATCGGTATGTCGGCAGTGTCGTCCGACATTCGGTCGCATAAAACATGCAGCGTCCCGTGATGAATCGTGCGCGCGTGTTTGCCATGTGGCTCGCCTCTAACTGGCGTCATCGCAATTCTATTAAATCGCCGCCACCCCGTGCGACTCGTGCAAGCGCCACGACTTTATTAATCCTACATACGGGCGTCCCGTCACCCATTTTTCTCTTCGAATCAAGATTTCAAGATATTTTTTCGTACTTTTGTTTTTCACACGTATTTCTCGTTTCTGCATAAAATATGAATTCAAGGATGAATTTTTTGTTAATAACGCCTTTAGAAATATTATTCTAGTACCCGAGATGCTCTAAGATTAATCGTTTTTGCATTTCTAAAAGGCCGACTTTTAATTATCTTCCTTTACGAATACTTAACATTGTAATGGCGAGTAAACAAGATTGGACGATAAACTAAATTATAGTTAACAACTAGCGTCTCAAGGAAATAATGCTAGAGATATAAGAGTACCTGCCCCCGAGCCAGGTACCTCTTATACTGCCAGGTAATTCAATGAGCGAGTTTTCAATTTAAAATTCGATTCGCTCTTTGATTCTATTTTCTTGCTGTCACGGTCACTTATACTGCACAAGTAGTACGAAGCATCGCATCGTCAGAAGTAGATTACGTAAAAAAAATAAATATCGAGAACAAACGGGAACTGCATCGTTTAATTATGCGCGGGTAGAGCACAGAGAGTGGAGAACGGAGCCAGCCCCTGACAATGTTAAGACAACGAGGCGCAAAAACACAGGCGTAATGTGAAGAAGAAGAAGGAAAAAAAGGTAAGACAAAACGGCCGGAGACGTTAATTCGGGCAACGGCGCAAACGTAATTACCGGCCGATCGAGAAACTCGTAACCGCTCATTATCATCTCCCTGTTAAAAGGCAAAATTCTCCCCGTCGTTATTATCTACTCTCTCTCACCTTTTACGGGAAGAGATGGCCTTTCTAATGAACGCCGAGCGCGCGTTCACGGGTCCGCGGCGCCGTGAACACGCACCTCTCTCTTCCACGAAGGGACGCATCTCGGGATTCGTCTCGCCCTTTTCGCTCGGTCCGGATCCCGAAATTATTAGCTTCTGCGCGGGTCCGGGCGCGAAAGCCCGAGCGGCGCACACGGCGCGGTAAAAACTGCATAGTCGATGCAAGGTGCGACCAATCATTTTCGGGGGTCGTGAGGCGAAGGCGAAAGAAATTGCCGGGCAAGCTGTGTGCACGGCGCTCGTCGAGAGAGAGAGAGAGAGAGAGAGAGAGAGAAGAGAGAGAGAGACGACCGTG